TTGCCATTCTCATCTATGCAACAATACTGTTCTCCTGTTTGACAGCATATTGTGTTACAACAATCCTGTATCTCACTACAACATTGTCCGTAACCGTCAATTAAACAACATGTGGTACCTAATTCACAACATGAGCCAGATGGACAGCAGACGGGTAGAAATGAGGAACAACAGTGAGTAGGTAGTGTACTTGAATTTGAAAATGTCTCTGTACAACACTTTTCATTTTGACTCGCCACACAATAGTCAGCAGGACAAGTTTTATTTCCAATGTCTAGGAGTAAAAGGGGAAAATTTGAGTAAACTTAAAAGACAGAAGTTAAGAATTGCACTCATACTTACTAGTCGATGTGTAATTCATTGTGTTTTCAGAATGACGTCTTCCTAGAATTACTCCTATTGGTGCTACAATCACTACCAGAATGCAGATTAGTATAACTATGGATACTACAGTTACCACGAATGTTCGAGAAGCATATTTTCCCTGCCGCTCCTTGACCAGAATACCAGACGTGATGGGATGCACTGGGAGGCCGGGCCAGATTGTATCATTCATCTAAAAAAAGGTGATTACTATCCAGTGAGATGCCGATAGTTGAAGTAGAATATAGTTAGTATCACGATAGTTGAGTAGTAGCGCGATAGTTGAAAAAATTCGTTTTTCAAAAAACTACCCAACGTCACAAAAGCGTTTTACATCATTAGTCGGGTGAAAACTAGTTTTTTGAAATAAACGTCAATCTGGCAGATATTTTCCTGTAACTTACGATTTCTTGAAACGAACAATCGAACTCTTTTTTTGGAATGTCGCGTTTCTCGCGTTTTTATCTCAAAAACCGAAACGCCGCGTTAAAAGGTGTTCATCTAAAGAATACGCAATACACCACGTGAAAAGCCGTTTTTCCTTTTTTCTGACCGTAGGTATCTCACTGCTTAGTAATCATATGGAGTTACTTTCAAAGAAAGCAAAAATATGAATTACAAGCACTGATGTGCTTTAGTGATTTAGAAATAAAATACATGTTCCCACTTAGACTCTTCTTTATTGAGTATCAATGTTGTCTTTCTCAGCTGAATCAATAAGATTGTTCGTAGACAAGAGTGCAACATGATCAGGTGGATAGATTTTCTTTTGAATATCATAAGCTTTTCGATAGTATTTCACCGATTTATTGTAAATATCTTTCTTATTATAGCAGTCACCTATTGCTAAGAAACAATTTGCCATTGTCTGATATTCAATATAATCTTGGCACTGTATAATTGAGAGTGCTCTTTCATACAGAGTAAAGCGATCATCCACAGACGTAACTAACTCAGCTCTAAGCATTAATAAATGTGCAATAGATAAATGATTTTCAGGTAAGCGATTTTCGTGTATTTTGAGTTCTTCATTGCAAAAAGAAAGTGCTCGCATATTATTTTCATCGACCTTCTGATACAGATTTGATAGGGTACGAATACAACGAATTTGATAAGAATTTCCAATAGACAGAAATTGTTTTGTTATCTCAAATGCAGCCAAGTAGAATTCTTCTGCTTTTTCATAGTTCACTTTAGTAGAGTACCTTTCACCAAGTAAATTTTGACAGTAGATAATTTCAACGTATAATCGTGGTTCTTGTATCTGTTGCTCCAAGAGATCATGTATTTTCAGACAGGAATCAATATCTTCTTCAACGCTGTAGTCATTAGCACATTTAGAATGGATCGAAATTAAGTTTAATTGGGTAATAGCAATATTGATCTGATCTTTCTCCTTATTCCAGTATTTCAAAGCTTTCATATAACATTCTGAAGCTTTGTCGTACTGCTGAATAGCTCTGTAATAGTTACCTAAGGAAACGTAGGTTACAGCTAAATCTCTCGGATCAGTTTTCATTTGCAATGCTCTCTCATACTTCTTTTGGGCTTCTTGCCAGTTTGTGATACACATATAGAGATTTCCAAGATAGTCAAACACATAGGGTGACTCGTCAATTTGTAACATTAAACGAAAATAAGCTTCTGCCTTAGCATAGTGTCCATTATCTATCAAGTATCGCCCAAATAACAAGTTACTGTTTTTTTCGTTTTCGTATCTCAGTTTCACTAGTCTGATCTGTTCGTTTAACTGTGGGAACGTCTCGTCTGTAGCTGTCATACAGATTTTCCATACTTTTAAATCTTCATCTCTTTCCACACCATCTATTCTAAAAACTGAGCCAATTGTAAATAGAATTTCCTGTTCACTTCCACATACCGATTGATTGCTAATAACACATTGCTCGATATCTACGAATGTTACACTTTTATATTGAGTTTTATGCACAGTTATTTCAAAGAGAACAACCTTAAATTCTTCTGAATCTTTACCCTCACCACCACCCGCATATATCATTGCAACATCTTTCGATTTTGATGTAGAACAGAAGGCATTCGTTGAAACGAGACCACCTACATTATTCTGCATATATTGAAATTCCTGAGATGGTAGATGACTTTCACCGCGGTAAAAGATTAATGGAAAATCCAGTGGTTCAGGTTGCGTGCACTGGCATTGTATTAAAGCAGATTCGGATCTGAACACGGTTAACGAATTTTTAATTGATTTTGAGAGCGGATACATCGGATTAAATGGTTCCGCGGCGCTCTAGCTAAACGTGGCTGGCAGAAGAACAAATCTTTTTTTATCACCCAACATCAGCACAAACAATTAAAATTAGCAGAAACAAATGGTCATTATAAACCATCAGAACTGTTATTAAATGTAGACTTACAATTTCATCATGAAGGAATCCATGCGTGCAAAAGATTATTCAAATTTCTAACATTAATATTCGCCGCATATACAATGTTGACTAATGTTTTAATATTAAACCTTCATTTCGTTTTTCTCGTTCTGTTCTTTTGATTAAAGATGAAAATTTATTTCACATGGCTAAATCAGGAAATTATGTATGATTATGTTTACGTCCGGTTGCTTAATTGATTGAGAGTGACTATTAAGTTTCTGCAGAGCTCAACAAAAGTTAAAAGAAAGTAAAAGTATATTGAGATAACAGATAAGTGAGAGACATAAGAAATGACCAAAAAGAGAAAAGTCAATTCAATTTGTTGTTCATGCTTAATAGTAACAAAAATTTTCTCATACAGCTACTTTATACTCTATATTGACCTGCTGATACATTTCACAAGAGCAGAAGATCGTCGTGGCATCGTCATGGCATGATCCGAAGAGAAAGCCGGAAACTCATGCTAGTCGGGAACGGCGTAAAATAAACCAAAAAAATCTCTTATATTTGGTAGAAATACAGTCAACTGACAAAAACTGTTTAAAAATAAGTGCACATATAAATGCTGATAGAAATATTTACGATGGCAATTAAAAGTATATATTTTCCTTATGCTTAGCTATGATATTGACAACTGTTTATCTCAGAAAGTATAACGTATCTTTTTCCAAAATATAGTTGGGTACAGAGTACAATTTGTGTACTTCAAACTGCCAGAAAAACTGGAGAGGTGTATTTTCAAATTTGCTAACTTTTTAATCTGCGAAGTTGGTAGAATATAGGATAAACTCGCAGTAAGCACTGCTTCTTTCGAACATAGAATAAATGAACATTTCGATGAAATATAACGTACTAGACACATATATACAACGACGCACTCCACTGCTTCAAAGAACAAAATAAAGAAAGGAAAAAATTTATATTTTGATCGAGCTTCATTTATTCTATATTCGAAAGAAGCAGTGTTCACTGTAAATGTTCCCTGCATTGTGCCAACTTCTCATATTAAAAAGTTAACAAATTTGAAAATACCCCTCTCCAGTTTTCCTGGCACAAGTTGTGCTCTATGCCGAGCTATTTTATAGGAAAAGGTACATTGTATTTCTTGAGTTATATGTCTATTAATATCACAGCTGAGCATAAGAAAAGTCATAGTTTTTTATGTTCAGCAGTTGAGTATAAAATGAATCAAGGAAAAAGAATAATAAAATCGGCATTTATAAGAATAATAGCTCTATTATCGTTCTGCTCTAAGCCGCATTTATTATTCTCCTTGATCGTCCAGTTCTTGTTCATTTTGCTTTTTTTTCTTATCATGAGACGGCTTATTCTTAACTGAGATCACTATTTTTCTACTCACTCTCATTTTGCGCTGCCCGCCCTGTGATGTTTCTTTGATGTTAATTTTTATGTTACAGATTTTATGAAAAAAGTGATCTCAATTAAGAAGCCTCGCATGAGACACAACATGTATAATAATTTTCTTTTCAACTCAGTATAACAGAAGAATAAATTCCATTTTCATTGAATATTCGAAGCAATCGAATACGCAGAAGAAAGATCAGTAAGAATGAAAAGTGAGTAACTTGAACTTTTTGTATCGAACAAAAAAACCTACACTAGATACGTTGGTTATGTACGAATAAAACGAACAGACAGAACGAAAATATTAATAATTGCACGACTCTGTACTGTTGGTGTTTCATAATTTTCTTTTTTTTGTTTAATAATTCCAAACTGTATGTTAGTTGCTTGGTGTAATTTTCCTTCATGATGAAATTGTAAGTCTACATTTAATAACAGTTCTGATGGTTTATAATGACCATTTGTTTCTGCTAATTTTAATTGTTTGTGCTGATGTTGGGTGATAAAAAAAGATTTGTTCTTCTGCCAGCCACGTTTAGCTAGAGCGCCGCGGAACCATTTAATCCGATGTATCCGCTCTCAAAATCAATTAAAAATTCGTTAACCGTGTTCAGATCCGAATCTGCTTTAATACAATGCCAGTGGATTGGATGCGCCGAATGAAGGTGTTGTTGTAAAACCGATAGCATGGGGGGAAAATACTCTCTACCTGCAAAAGAATAACAGAAGTATTATCCGAAATGCTGTAATTATAAATTAAACTCACCTCTACAATGTAGAACTAATGGCAATCCGAAACGATTAGCCAAAATAACTTGGTTGGAAAACACGAACATCTGATCGTTAAAGTCTCGTTGTCTGTACTTGTACAATCGAGACCGCACTCGCTGTTACCAACGAATAAACGATCCAACGTGCTGTGTCCGCTGATCAAAATATTTTGAAGATTCTGAAGTTGTTCGCGGTAATTAAATTTGGAAAAATATTTCGGATGAATGCCAAAAGTTTCGTGGATTAATACGTTATGATTACATGAGATATCCGATAATTTTAACCAATTATCGGGAATATGTTTGTTGGAAACTAGTACAAAGCGTCGAATTGAAGAAGCTTTCATTTCTGAGAGAAAATTTGTATTTTCAATGTCGTCGAAGTGGCAATGTCCGTCGTATATAGGAGTGAATGGAGGAAGGTGTGTTGCTGATCCGCATTTACATTCATTAAAAATACTGTTTAAACAAATATTGTACGGTTGAGAAAGATTCATGTAGTTGAGTATGGTGAACTGAGCTCATACAATCATTATATAGAACACTTTTTTATTACAATTATGTGAGTGATGAATCGTCAATTTCATTAGTGATGATTTTGATTTGATGTGACTATAGAGACAAAACGTTTGTCTCTATAGTCACATCATATCAAAATCTGATGCTTTTTTTCTAGGGAAACGGAAATTTTGAAATTTAGATGTTCGGAATCAGCGCAATGAGGAACGTTGTAAGATGCATTGATCTCGTCGGGGTGCTTCCAGATATGGGTTTCTTTGAGCTCCTCTTTGATTTTCACTATATTCAACGGTATAGTTCATCGCATTCATCATTGAACTTCAAAGAGTACCATGTTTCTTTCATTCTGTTCATAATATCACTTTTTCGTTCTGTTTTATTTTGTTTCTCTTTCTGAACATGGAAAAGCAATAGACAATATAGACTTTTACGTACGTTTTACGTGAACACTGTATTACCACTACATTCATCAAGAGAAACATAGATAATTCAGAAAATATAGATAATAGCTGGTAGAGCCAGTAAGTAGTCGTTCTTATCCTTCCTTCTTTCTCTCCTCACTTTCCTTCCTCCTTCCAAAAAGATTAACGGAAAATGCAGTGGTTCAGGTTGCGTGGAAGTCTGTTTCCTGTGGACGCTTTCCAGTTGACCATAGAGATCGACAATATATGAACGAAATAGATACCATAGGGTTATATCTTCTGTTCTAAAAGCTTTGTTTACAATATTCACTCCTATAAGTGTCACGGAAGAGTCCGATCTATCTTCGAGTTCTTTGTGCGTTGTAGACGATTCCCTTTGACTCCTTGCAGAAATTCTGTGAATGGAGGTAATCGTTTAACCTGTAGATGTGAATCTTACACGAGTGAATCTTCACGAATCTATTTCAGACTCTTCTGCTGAATAAATTATTTTCGAGAACAAGACAGGTTTTCAATAGAATTCGATGTTTGAACCGAATTTCTAAGTTGTGACCATATGGGCGTACACAGACACCTGACTTAGTAAGTTCCCTTAGGCGAGTGAAGATACAAACAAAAGAACTGCGAGATTAGGAGGTTAGACATCTAAATGTTACAGTAGTACTCGTCCCCAACTCGGTAGATGCTTAAAAATAACAGTTTAATCAAACGTTTCTGAGTTTTTAAGCAAAAAAAAGGCGTTTACCAAAGTATTAGCGAAGAGAAAGTATATGACAACTTTGTTCATTCAGAAACGCACTTTCTGTTCCCTAATATTTTGATGAATGTGGTTTTTTCGTTGAAAAATGACAAAAATCTTTGATTAAAGTAGAAATTGTTTTTTGTGTGAATGAATCATCGATCTTCTCTGGATAAAGATGTTTGCAAACACAAAAAAAGAAAATCAGCTGCTATCGAAATGGAAAACTAAAGTTTTGCATCTTGTCGAAACAGCCATATGGATCGGTCTCAAATTCTTTTCTCGAACCAATGATCTGTTGTCACGAACCGGACAGTCTAACAGTTCGAGCGAAACTCCTCGCCGGCTTACTTAAGAGGCCACAATTCTTTTCGAAGTATCGAAAAATACCCTACTAGACCATTAGAAAAAATAAAATTTTGTTTCAGAAGTTTAGAAGAGCTAAAATTGCCAAGGTAGACTTCTGGGTCAATTAGTAATTGCACAGCACAAACATTATCTACGCACTTTCTTTTTCTATCATCCTAAAAGGAGGGCACAGAGGTAAATATTCTAATATTGCTAAAGCGGAAATAACTATGGTAATCAGGATTGTAGCGCATAGTCGATTTAGCATCGTTATGTAGTTTTGTTTCCTTAAAAGACGAATCTTAGCAATGTGACAATATATTCTTTTACAGTCACCGAACTGCTAGCTATGTTCAGATTCTGTTTTATTTTTTGAGAAACAAAAACTATATGAAGATACTAATCGACTATGGACTTCTCACAGAGTTGGGGGGGGGGGGGGGGGGGCGCGGGGTGGGGGGGGGGGGGGGGCGGGGGGGGGG